GTTGTAAAAGAGGAAAACTATGCTAATAATTGGATTCCCCCCCCCAAAATTATGATCTTGCGCCCCAATACTGCAAACATTTAGCATGTACCTAACTTTTCTCACATGAGCAATCCCATGGCTAGCCCGTGCCAGCTGACTCAGGCTTGCAGGACTTGGGCGATAGTGCTGTTTAATTGTGTAGATGATCAGGCTCGGGCTGCAGCCCGGGCTCTAGGACCCTGTGAGGTGGGCGGTTACCAGAGCTCAGGCTGCAGCCCAAGCCTGAACCTCTGCATCATAATTAAACAGTCCCTTAGCTTGAGCCCTGTGAGCCTGAGTCAGCAGGCATGGGCCAGCCACAGGTGTCTAACTGCAGAGTAGACATACCCACAGTGTTCTATTGAATTGCTGAAAAACTCCAGGTAGCAGGTGGGTTTTCAGACATTTTGCAGCACCCACTGAGGGGATCCAGTTGCTTTCCACTCCCTTTTGCACTATAACAGCAGCACAAAGCAGGGGCAGGAGAGGTGGGGGGAAAAGGGGCCTCAGGGTTCAGGCCACTAATTTATCCTATTTGCTGCTTATTGCTATTTACTTTCATTCAGCTTCATGGAGGTCAAGTTCAGCTTTGATTTTCTTGGTTTTATCCATTTGTTACAACAGCTACCTAATCATGCTTGTCAGTCATCCTTAGGGAGAGTAAAAGCCACCTTTTCTGGATGGGTCGAGCCTGAGGGCACAGAGAATAAATTTTACAATCTGGAAGATCACTAAAACAAAGGAGCATTTTCCACTTTTTTACAATGAAAGGAATTACCTGCACTCACATGAAAAGTAGACAATGTTTACAGAAAAATTACATTACTTCACAAAAGCTATGAATTTTGGAGGGGTTGGCCACTCAGAAATTAGGTATTAATGAGGACAACTAAATAGATTTTAAAATAGCTTTAAAGGAAGTTATTAAATAGCTCACAAAAACTAGTCATTGGTCACAAAATTGGGTGACTGGGCAACAAAATGGCAGATGAAATTCAATATGGATAAATGCAAAGTAATGCACATTGGAAAATATAATCCCAATTATACATACAAAATGATGAGGTCTAAAATTAGCTGTTACACTCAAGAAAGAGATCTTGGAGTCATCTTGGATAGTTCTCTGAAAACATCCACTCAATGGGCAGCAGCAGGCAAAAAAAAAAAAGCTAACAGAATGCTGGGAACCAGTAGAAAGGATAGATAGAAAGACAGAAAATATCATCTATAAATCCATGGTACACCCATGCGGTGGGCAGTTCTGGTCACCTCATCTCAAAAAAGATGTATTAGAATTGGAAAAAGTACAGAGAAGAGCAAAAAATGATTAGAGGTAGGAAACAACTTCCATATGGAGGGAGAGAGAGAGGAAAAAAAAGACGGACTATTCAGCTTAGAAAGGAGACAACTAAGGGGAGGATATGATAGAAATCTATAAAATCATGAATGGGGTGAGGAACATGAATAGGGAAGTATTATTTCCTCTGGGTCACCCAATGAAATTAATAGGCAGCAGGTTTAAAATTAAGAAAGTACTTCTTCACAAAACACACAGTCAACTCTTTGCCAAGGGATGTTGTGAAGGACAAAAGTATAAGTGGATTTAAAAAAAGAATTAGATAAGTTCATGGAGGACAGGTTCACCAATGGCTAGGAGCCAAGATGGTCAGGGACACCACCCCTTGTTATGGTCGTCTCTAAACTTCTGACTGCCAGAAACTAGGACTGGATGACAAGGGATGGATCGCTCAATAATTACCCAGTTGTGTTCATTCTCTCTGAAGCACCTGGCATTGGCCACTGTTGAAAGACCAAATACTGGGCTAGATAGACCATTGGTCGACCTAGTATGGCCATTCTTATGTTCTTAGCTTTGGTACTGCTCTTTTCTGCATTTCTCTGGCTCTTCCATTGCCCATTTTTATAACAGTTATTTCATATTTCATGAAAACTGTAGTGGTGGTGTTCTGTGCCTAAACATTTAAACCAAATCTCTGAATGTAACAGTCAAAGAATTAGTTCAATACCCAAATGCAAAAAATAGGAAGTCTTGATTTGCATCCAATACCTCAGGTAATTTATCCTGAAATCCTATCATCCCTATATGTAAAGGCTGTGTATATCAAAACAGCCAGAAAATCTACTTGCAAGCTTCCCCCCACCCAAGGTAAAGAGAAGCTTCTGTTCAGATTACTTAATGACAAAATTCAATGTCAGCAACCAGAGGGCCATATTCAGGGAAAATGTGCCTTTTTAAAAAAATGTTGTTTAACTTTTTATATTCAGATATAGATACTACATACTCTGTAATCCCTTTCTGGGCAACAACAGAGCTGTAGACCATTCTATTATAAAGTCTGCTCATCTGATGACACTGTTGCTCTAATGGTAGCCTGTAGACTCCTCTGCACCAAAATGACTGTATATTCAAGAGTTATGTTGGGACTCAGACCACTGTTCGCACTGCAGTCCCCAAAGGCCACAGTGCTGCATTGTCGAGAGATACAGACCATTGGAACAGGCACTAAAATATGGCTCAATCTGTAAGCCAGTTCATGGTCAATGTTTAGGGATATGATTGAGATCCTGGGACACTGTTACATGAGCAGAGCATAATCTTGTGGTTTTAGGGCCTAACCCAACACTCAATGAAGTCCACAGATGACTTCACAGAGATCAGAATCAATATCTTCCATTTTCTGTGAGATCACTATAGGTTAACTGTCAATAATAATAACAACAACAATAATACTTACAGCAGTATTTACATAGCGCTTTTAGTTGAGGATCACAAGCATATTGCAAGCACTTACGTTTCACAACATCTTTATGAAGTATGAATTAACTAAGGAACAAAAAAGCTAAAAAAATTCTCAGAAACAGAGGAAGTCAGTGGCAGAGAGAGACAGAAACAGAATCTAGGAGTCTTGAATAGAACTGATTGTGAACTTTACTAGATGTTTGTCCATCAGAAAATGTCAATTTGTTGAAAGTGAAACTTCACAGGAACATACCAGGTTCAACAGAAGTTTCATTGAGAGGTTGCTCGCCTCTAGGATGGAATTTCTGGTCAGAACAAGACAGAGACACACCAACCAATAGCCTGGTGATTAGAGGCTGTGAGAAACCCAAGTTCAGTACCTGCTCTGCCTGATTTGAAGCAGGGACTTGAACCCAAGTCACTCATCCCAGGTGAGTGCCATAACTACTAGGCTATAAATTGTTGTGGGATGGGAGTTTCACTCACTCTCGTGTTTCATCAAAAAAACTTCCAAAAGTCTCAGTTTCATCCCAAAGCAAAAATGGGGGGAAATTTCCAAATACTCAAAAATATTCATGGGATGGGAAAACTGTTTCATGGCCAGCTCTAGTCAACACTTAGTCTCTTGCTTTAACTGCCAACCAATAGTTCCTCATAAGATCATACATGAGAAGAATGTGTAATATGTTCAGGCAATTATGGCATGTGTGTGACCATATCCAGCCTCTGAACTATTATTTGTTCAGTGCTCACAACATACAGAATTCTGTGCAGTCCTCTGTGGCTGCATGCACACAATTCAGAATTTGAAGCCACTTATTAAGCCATTTCTTTTTGTGAATATATTAAATCTGTGCTCCACAATCAGCCTATTGGTTTCTGGGTTGATTTTAAGATGTTGGTTTTGATCTACAAAGTCCCATATGGCCTGAGACCTACTTATCTAACAGACTGCCTCTCTCTCCGACATACTGTTGCAGTATGGAGTTTAGTAGAGGAGCCTAAATTGGAAATCTAGTGGCATAAAAGAGAAGGAATTATTCATTAGGTTACTGAGCCTTTGGAACTTGTTTCTACCCTTAGTCTACAACAGCTTGAATTAGTTAGCCTGCTACAAGGAACAGCTTTTTTGCCTCGCCCATAATGACATGGGTATTGAATAGGACTGGGCAATGCAGGGATGAGAGTCTGGTTGGGATTTTGTAGAAAGGTTAATTATTATTTGCTGGGTTGTTTTATCTGATATTGTAGTAATTGGCAACTCTCTTTATTTATACACGTACTTTTAAAAAATTGCCAAAAGTGCCCCGTTGGAGGGATGCTCTTTTGCTGCAGAGTAGGAAAATTCACAACACAATATGCACAGACCTAAAATGGGTATTTGCATATATACACAGGCAGTTGGACATCACAATATGTGTACACATATTATAGGTATTTGTACATATTAGCTGGGAGCATGCTAAAAATAATGTGCACAGTTGCGTGCAGCTATTATAACTACTGGCCACTAGCTGAAGACCCATAATGTTCTTTTAGAGCAGTTTTTGTTGAATGAATCTTTTAAAAAATTTAAAAATTTCAGAATTATTACCAGTCTGCTACACTATCATAGCTTCCATCCTACTATAATGACATATATTATAGTTCATGAACTATAACAATTGGAGTATGAAAGCGAATATCCATCCATAAATAGAATCTACAATTTATGCTGAGGTACATGGGGAAAAAATGTTAGCTGTTCAAAAATGACAGTACATCAACAGGAAGCAGCACAGCTTAAAAAAAAAAGATCCGTTACTGTAGGCTCCAATTAGAGGGGCATTTACAAAGAAAGGAGCACAGGAATTGCCACAATGGATCAGACAATGATCCATCTAGTCCAGTAACTCCAACAGTGGCCAGCACTGGTGCCCCACTTCATAGATATATCCCTCAATCTTTGTAATAGACTGTTGTGAAATAGCCAACCACTTCCAGTATGAGCATGAAGCATGAAGACTTATATCCCTCCTAATTCTGTTAGCCTGTCTATTGTAACAGTGGATGTTCTATATCCTTGAAAAAGACTATTCCTTCTTAAAAATCCTGTCAAGAATTCAGCCCCAGTGATATCTTGTGGCAGTGAGTTCCACAGACTAATTCTGCATTTTATTAAAAAACATGTGTTTACTATATACAATTCTTTTATACTTTACCTTTTTCTTCTTTTTAGGTCCTCAGGCTCATGAGTTCACTCCATATGATGCCACAGTATGCATATGTTGGTGATGTTACCACAGAACATCTTTTGGGGATATTTTCTTTGTAAATCTATAAGACGATCCATTGGATATAAGCTGTTAAAATGCATATACATAATTTTATTTAATAATCTTTAATGTGCCATTGCATCTGCATGCATCACAGACTGAATACAACCAGGTCTTAAATAAATCTAGTTATAAAACTGCATAAGCAGCCCTTCTCACTGTTCCAAATCCAACAGCCATAAATAACCCACTACTGATCCATAGTCCAGCAAATGCCAGAAGAAAAGGCTATGTTTTTAAACACACACTGAAAATCAGTAAAGCTGAGCTTTGCTAGAGAGTGTTCCTCTCAAACAACTTCCCTCCCTCCCACGTCCAATCCATACACAAGAAGCACCTCACCTCATGTGATCTCAGCTGTCTGGAGGCATAAAGGTCATGCAGTACATTTGTAAGATGTTCTTCAATGGAAAAGCAGTTGCTTTCTGGCTTTCTTCATAATCCATAAATATGGCATTTTAATACCAGACTCCTCCACATTTATCACTTAACCATGAAAATCCATCCATTTCCTCCTTGCTTAAACACATTTCATATTAAGACCTCATTTCTTAGCCATAACATGTTCACCCAAGGCCTGGGGAAGCTTTAGAGCCCATCAATGCCTCTCTTTCAGTGTACAGAAGAGTCGCTATTGTGTGACACATTCGCTAATTCCTTCCTCCAAGGGACTGAGTGTGCTCCCTGTGGGGAACGTAAGCCTGGATTGGGTTTTCCACATAGTGAATCACAGTACTGCCATTGGGGAGGGATTTATTGTCCCATCACTTCTCTCAAGTCACCCCTGGAGAGTTCATGTAATGCTTTTGCAATTTTCTGCGACATATATTTTACACGTTCCTATTGGCATGTTTTGTCCTAGTTGTTTCTTGAGTCTTTCACATACTGTAATGTAGTGTTTCTGTGTTAATTTTTATTAGCCTAAGGATGTCTATTATGAGATGTTTCCATTTCAGCTTTACTGATATAACTTGGAATTTGGAGTGTATCATCATTATGGATTGTGACTTCCTGTACATGACCCAGCGTAAGATTGGTATCAGTTCATGATAGGCTATGAGACACTGACGAGAACAACATAACGAGAATAACATCCTCTTCTCTTTCTAAAATGTGTCTTCTCTAAGCCTTCTAGTAAAATCCTAATTATAGTCTGAAAAGAATATACACAAATAGCAACAACCAAATACTTTAAAAAGTGTTACAAATTTTGATTGCTAAGTAACAATGACTTGCTAAAATAAAATACAGTGTCCTAGAAGTACATTGATGTGTAATCCTTAACTAAAGCAGGCTTTTAATACTTAGAAAAACTGTTAACAATTAAAAAAATATTCATGGCATGAGATTTGGGTTAGAAAACAAGTATTGTGAGAAGAAAAGAAAAAAAACTCTACCATCATCAGTATTCAAAAGGACACCACCATTTAGCAGATGAAATTACAACCTATGTAGTTTGGTGGGAATTTTAACATGAACTAGATATGTTGACGCATTACAGTAAACAGACAGACAGTCAAAGAGCTTTTCTGAAATTAGACTTAAGTTACAGCAAGTGTGATATACATAGCTAGGAAGCGGAAATGCCTTTTTTTATTCACTGTATCCTAAGGCTTTTATGTCTATGAGACTTTAATTTGTCATCAGTTTTATCTCAGTTTCATAGCTACGTGTATCACTGCCTGATTATCTAAATTGTTTTAGTGCCCAAACAAAAAGCCTGATAGGATAGATTGTCCAATTATACTGTGTAACTGAAAGTGGACAAAGAAGGCATTTTTAGTATCAGAAGAGGATAACTGGCACCAAAACTGGTAACCTTGGCGCATCAACCAAGGTGGTAATGAGGAGCTAACCATGCTCTGAGTGGACAAATGCACTGAAAAGAGGGTGTGATAAACACAACAGTAGGCATAACCAGCGGCGATAGGGGCAGCATTAAGTTATTTCTGTGCTCTCAGACCACTTGTTGCCAGATAATCATGATGAACTAGAGCTGGCAGAGGAAGTGTGCATACATAGCTGATCAACATGACAAACAAATGACACTGTCTTGTCTTGGAGTATTTTACAATCCCAGACATCAACACAGAAAAAGTGAGCTGAAGCTGGGCTCTGTACGCTGCGCATGTGTGTTCTTGAATTGGTAGATATGATGGTTATTTTATGAGATTTCTATGGAAGATCTGATTAAACAGAATTGCAATGCAATCTAATATATGTAGGACCCTAGCTTATTTTATGATATGACCCTAGATTATTTTATGATCAATCTGTGAAATGCTTTTCCATTGTTAATACATTATTGACTTTCCCACTGTGTGTCTGTGTCTTATTTGCTTTGGCCACACTCTGTACACAGTTGCTGGCTATGTTCTCCATGTTGTCATTATGTTACACATTAGCCTTGGTGCTTGTGTGAGCTATGACCCATGTTGCTTGGGTGTCTGCTCCATTCTGGTATCACATACTTTTTACCAAATTCACCCATCTGTGACAGTGCTGAGAGCTTGTTCTGGGTTCATACCTTTTTGTCCAGTTTCGCTGCATTCCAGAGCCATTTTCCTCTGCTGTTTTACTGTTAGTCTTGGCAACCTATTTGTTTAAGGGGAGAGGGTTTCTGGGTGATGCCGTTTAGTCAAGACACCTTGCAACAATTTACACACCCTTTTAGCTCCTTATTGGAAATGCTGTGTTCTTTGTAACCCTTTGTTAATTTAACATCTCGTTTGTTTAAAGTCAAAGGGTTGAATTATGGTCCCATTAAAGTCAATGGGAGTTTTGCCATTGACTTCAATGCAGCCAGGATTTCACCCATTGTGTATACTGAATAGTACTGTTCTAACTCTTAAAACCAGAGAGAGGAATGACACTGACAGTTTATCCCTGTGATATTGGCAGGGAAGCTGCTAAAGCCATATGGGGAGCGTACTGGACAGGGGAAGGATAGAAGATGCCATCTACTGGAAGCGGGAATGTATGGTAGGAGTATTGGAGGTTAATGGCTCAGGGCCTGTGATTGATAAACAAGACTGAGTTTTGGTAAACTTTCCACTCTGGTGCCTGGCTTACCTTTCTGAAGAATATTGAACAACAGCTAGAAACTTATTTTTATTAAGTTAGTTACTGGAATGACCTCTAATTAATATTATTGGTATTCATTATTTGTATTAGTAGCACCTAAGGACCCCATAGCAAGCATCAGGCCACATTGAAGTAGGTGCTGTACAAACTAGTAAAAAAGACAGTCCTTGCCCTGGAGAGGTTCACAATCAGGGCTTGTAACAATGTGCAAAAAGTAGATGAAACAGACTAATGGGTGAGGGCCAAAGAGTCGATGAAGAATTTAATCTCTGGAATCACTGACTGTTTAGTCAGTTAACAGAAAAACCTCAAACTGTTCAGTTTTGCTCCAAATGATCTCATCTCAACCACTAGTTCTAAAGAAGTAAGAAAGTATGTAACAAATTTACATTTGAGCCCATGCTTGTTTTAAATTACAAGTTAGCAAATAAACCATTTGACACATATTACAAAAGTCAGAGGCCTGTTACTTTTCCACTGAAAAATGGTTTGAGTGATTTATTTTAATTCACCCAAAATACGTTTCCTCAAGCCTGAGATTAACCAGGAGAATTTTCAAACATTTTCAATCATTTTGAGTAGAACCAGGGATTGTGGGAAGGGGCATCTTTTTACACCCTTAACTATGGAGTCATGCATCTGGTCAATAAGAGAGACATAATTAAAAGTCAAATGAAAAAAGTTCTGAGCTTCACCTTCTGCATATAACTTTAATAAGTTATTCATTTAGGAAACCTAAATCTTCGTTTAATGTTTTGGTATAATTTTGGAACTTGTTAGAGGCTACTGAATTTAACCCATGAAAGCCGCTGATTGTTTAAGTGAAAGTTTTTGTATGTGGAATGTTTTTGTGTGCCTCCTTTTTGTTAATGTACTGTATAAATACTACTTTAAAGCTAGCCCTGTAAATAGATAAAACACGTTATTAGGAGCCTTCATTCTTTTCAAAGTAATTTTGGGATAATCTAGAGCAGTGGTTCTCAACCCGTGGCTCAGGGGCCACATGCAGCCCAATTAGCACATAGCTGTGGCCCAGCTGTGTGCTAAAGGCCGCTGGGCAGTGCGGCAGGGTCCAGGTTCCCAGCCGCCTGGGTCTGGGTCTGCCGGCTGGCCCCACATGGCAAGGGTCCAAGCTGCCGGCTGGCCCCGCGGGGTCGGGATCTGCTCCTGGCCCCACTCTGTGGAGGGGTCTCTGGGCGGGAGGCGCTGGGCATGGGGGTCTGTTGGAGGAAATTTGGGGGAGGGGGGTAAGAGGGGAGCGCTGTGGTTCTCAGCCTGCAGCTCACAATGGTAAATAGGTTGAGAACCACTGATCTAGAGGAATTCAGATTGAGTCACACACCA